GTCACGATGGAGTTGATGGACTAGGTAGGTATCGGTTCATACTTTCTCAATACCTATAGCTACGTACGAGTTACGTAGGTATCTACTTGACTTACTACATGTGCATATCTTGCTTGTCTACAGGACGTGTGTGCGCAGAGTATTTCCTCCTCCTGGGGGGTCTTCCAGCACTTCCGAGGCTGCGGCTGTTTATGTATCTACTTGTCTACACGTCTCTTCCCTATGACGACGGGGTATGCATTAGCAGTAGCAGTAGCATTTAACCCACGGCATGGTATGGCATAGCATAGCTATTACCATCCCTTAGTAGACTAAGAGACAGACAAGAAGGGTACTCGTAGCTTTGATCATTGCGGAGAGTAAGTGTAGTCAGGCAGTCAATTAGACTTCTTTTGCATGCTTCGAATATTTGGCTCTAGAGGAAGAATAGAGGGGCGGAGCTCAGGACCAGGGGATTGGAGATTGCGGACACGGTGCGGAAGAACAACAGACAATCCTCCAGGAAACACTCAACATGCACGTGGTGCTCTCAATTTTATGGTCGTTAAAAGTCCTTTAACGGACATGTGAACCACTCGTGTCTCTCTCGGGGTCAGAAAAATCAATGAAGAGCGGCGTCGAGAATCCTCCTCCTGACGTCGTCGCTGAAACTGGTGGCGACGCCTTCCTGGTCCGTCATGACGTTCATTTCGGCGTCGACGGCCGCTTCGTACGCCTTGAGCACGTTGTCCTCGTCGACCCTGACACCGTCCTCCGCCAGGATCTTGATGCACTCGGAGATGCGTGCTATTTCTCGGCGGGTGCCTTCGCCAATGTCGTCGTTCTGGCTCGAGTAGATGGCGCTGCTGACCACGTCGTCGAGATTCGAGATGCTCACGCCGCCGCTCATCCTACCCTGGTCTTCGGCCTGTTCCATGTGCTTGCTCAGCCAGATGTAGCCGTTCACCCCGAGGATGACGTTGACGTCTCCGCCACCTTGGGCGCCGCTGTTGATCGTGAAGACCTGTCTTCGACTCCGGACCACGCCGCCCCCACCGCCAGTCCCGGTCACGGCGAGGAACATTCCGTTTCGCAGCTTGCCGTACTTCAGACTCCGGGTGTGTAGATTTGCTGTCCCATCACTACTCCTCAGCTGTTGGACTTCTGCAACCACCAAATCCCCCTCCTGGAAGTAGTTTCGCATCTGGAGTTCATCTGCGGTTGTGCGTCGCCTCAAGACCCCACCGGGCAGGTTGATGGATGACAAGGGCAATTGGGCCAGTAACGGCGCCGCTACGTCCACTTTCCACTGGTTCTTTTGGACTTCCACTATGCGACCGACGACCAGATCCCCGATTTCCGGCGTATATCGTGCGCGGAGGGGGGCTACTGAGAGTAATTTGTTTGTCTTTTTCAATGGGCCTGCGAGGGTCGCGATCATGGTGGTTGAGTGCTCTGGCATGAAGGTGCCATGTCCCCTATATCTGGGTCAATAGACTGACTCTCTGAATCCGCTTCAAGTTTTCCCCCAAGCCTACCTCATCCATTGTGTGTCGTCCGTAATCACCTCTCCTGGCAGGGCAATTTGTCGAGACGAAGAAGATAATCGGCGACGCTTTGGCGGCCGGCCGCCATCTTCTTGCTCTGCGGCGTCGCTGGACTCGTCATCGTCGCCATAGATGTCCGTTTGTATAGTTTCCTCCTCAGGCTCTGGTGGTAGAACAGTTAAACCCATGTCTGCGTTTGGGCTTTCCAAAGCACATTTCAAACAAAACTTGGGGAAAATCGAGCGCGGCGGGTTGGAGACGCCGGAACAACTTCGGCTTCTCACGTGGTGATAAGTGTGGGGGCTTGGCATCCCTTATCGAAAATATGAGAAAACGGTCCGCTGAAGTCATCGTCGTCGAAACACTTCACGTCCCTCCCTTACGTGTCGACTTCGATTCAGATCAGGTCTTGCCTGCAGAGTCGCGAACATGGTGCGACACAAGAAGGACGGCGCCTCGTCCAAGTCCAAAAAGTACTCTACCAGGTCGCGACATACCCCTCGCTCGGCACAAGGTGGCGAGGGCGATGGCGACGCTATGCCTGAACGCCCACCTTTCAAGGCAGCGTGCTGGGACTTTGGGCATTGCGACGCAAAGCGCTGCAGTGGAAAGAGGCTGATGCACTTTGGCATGATGCGCGAGCTAGCCGTGGGTCAAAAGTTTCCTGGTGTAGTCATCTCGTGAGCAAAGGACTTCTTCCCCTTCTACCATCTCGTCGTGTTGACCAAATATCCAGCCCCAATGCAAAGCAGATCCTGTCACCGGCAGATCGAGACTTACTCGAACAGCACGGCGCCGCAGTAGTCGAGTGCTCATGGGTCAGGATACAGGAAATCCCGTTTTCGCGGATCGGAGGGAAATGCGAACGGCTTCTGCCCTATCTTGTCGCTGCCAACCCAGTCAATTATGGAAGGCCGTGGAGACTGAACTGCGTCGAAGCCCTCGCCGCGTGCTTTTGCATTTGCGGGCATGAGGACTGGGCAGAGATCATCTTACAGCACTTCCCCTATGGTAAACCGTTTCTTGAGATCAACTCCCAGCTCTTCAAGCGGTACGCCGCGTGTCAGAATGAAGAGGAGATCAAGAAGGCCGAAGAAAAGTGGCTTGCGAAGCTGGAAAAAGAGTATGCTGACAGTCGTCTCAACAAAGATGCTGCTGGCGGGGAAGATGTCTGGGCTGGTGGGAACATGAATAGGAGAGAGGTATACGACTCCGACGACGAAGATGCTGAAGCAGATGAAGACACCGATCCTGACGCAGATGATGAGAATGTCGGCCTACAGCAAGGCGTATCACTGGAGCTGCCCCCTGACGAGGAAGACGACGACGAAGAGGCTGAGATGGCTGAGATCCGCCGCAAGATCCTTGCCTCTAAACCGTTTACCGAGAGCTTCCCCTCAGAACCACCCAAAAGGAAGATCCAGCAGTCGAATCACGGGGAAATCAGTGATAACGTTGCCACGGCTCATCCGTCGACAGAACAGTCCCAGCGGTTGGTCGATTCCGACGCGGAATCAGGTTCCGCCGAGGAAGACTACGACGACTTTGACCAGATTGCAAGTGCGACGCCAGTGACTGACCGGACGGGGATAGTGGCGCGCGAAAGACAGAAAAAGCTCGAACAAGCAAGTGCCTCGTTTTCTTGGACATCGCTTTCTGCCCCGAAAAGGTGGTAGCACCGTAACATCCTGTTATATCGGTTCTAGGTTCAAAGGCGCATATCTACGATCGAGGAGAATGAAAGAAGCACATGCCAGGAGTGGGGACGATCGAAAACATCGAGGAGGATCGTTCGTCTGAATAGATATCGATTCTTTGTACCTGTGGGGCCATACACTATACCGATGTCTCCGAACACCACGTCAGTTACACCTGCATATGATTTGAATGGACATTTTGTTCTTGGTGGGCATCGGAAAATACAATATTGCCGGAGCAAGGATCGTCAAAACTCCACCAGCGAATTCAGCCTTCTCCCGCTCTGCCACATATACGCCCAGGCGATAGGCGCAGATCTTGCTGAAAATCATACAAGTCTCCAGAGCCGAATCTGCACAACAGAACAATGGAATGGTCACGTGTAATCAGAGGGCTGATGACTTATGGCCCCGACGAAACAGGGTCCGATTTCCTCAGATGCAGAGATGTCGAGGGAGTTTTGGTGGGTCAAGGATTTTCCGACACTACATACAAGTACTATCTCGAATCAGTAACGCCACCGGTTGTCTTTTCCGACCTCACAGGTGCTTTACCTCGACCATCGGCTCCCAGTGACCAGGTGCACTGATATCTCACATTTGGAACGGCAGATGGACAGAAATCGCCTCGGTCTTTACGCAGGGTCTGTTGGTGTGTATGCATGCATGCATGCATGTATGCCGCGACTCCGCCTTACAAGCTCGCACGATCCGTCCACAGGATGGATTTTGTCATTTGAAGCTCGAAGACTCCGTCTAGTGTGGCCACCAGAAGTCTTACTTTCCAAAGTGAGCTGCGTTGGTCTCGCTAGGCTGCATAAGCGAAGATGTTTCAAAAGTCCATGCAGATGCAATGATTGCTCCCAATAATACGAGGTGGCGACCATCTGACCATCACTTCCCCCGCAGGGTTCCAGCTGGACCGGCATCTCCGATCCAACAAAGTTTGTCCAAGAGATGCATCTCCTCAAGCCTAGCCATATGCCAAGGACTTTTGTCTTTCCCCATGCGACAGGAGCTTCTTCGCTTGCTTTGGCTCCGTATTAGGCATGGAAGATTGCGTCGTGGGCATGGGGGAATCTGCGCCACATTCCCACAAACTTCCTGGTGACCCTGGAAAAGCCAGGTTGCCGATCTGCTGGAAATGATGGGAGGTCTTTCAGACATTTTGATAACACCCTTGTCTGAGACTCGCAAAAGGCAAAACCCAAAAGCCGAAACTTGCATACCTTTCCCAGCGAACCCTTGTCCGTGGCGGGAGCGAGTTTGCGAACAAGGGAGGCAATGGCGAGGTCGTTAATCCCAGGGAGTTGCAGTGTTCTACTGCAGTAGTAGTAGTTGTCGCTTCTCGACTCACTTGAGCTATCACGGATTATTGGCTTTAGGTATAGACACACAACTTGATTTCATTCCATTTTTCACTCGTTACAACCAATTGGTGAATGGTACGGGGCAACTTTTCTGCATGCTGTTCGCACGACAAGAGAACATCCTCCCAGGGAAGGAATCGTAGCTCTTAATCCAAGAGATAGAATAGCCCATGGCCTCCCAACCTTTTTCCTCAATTAGTACTTTTAGACGAGTTGGTAATAGGCCGTCCCATAGTGTCCTAGTCCCCATAGCCATCATAATGACCCAGCACGAGTAGTGCGAATGAGTACCCACCCAGTTGAGGCTTGCAGACAAAACCCATCTCGAAAACAACAACAACAACAAAAGGCGCAAATGGAGGAACAAATCGCCAATCATCCAGTCGCAGCGGACTGCTGCGTCGCAACTATAGACCCGGCCCACGGGGACAGATAGTATAGTTATCAAACACGAGATCGTGCGACGGGTGGTGAGGGTGCCCGTACGGGATATGCGGCAAAGCGGGCATGACCGGCACGTTGGTGGATGATGATGACAATGGCTGACCGTAAAGGTGGGACGGTGGTGGTTGTGGTGACGGAGAGGTACAGAGACTCATGTCGACAAAGGCGTCGACTTCCAGGCGCGGTTCCATGAACTGGTCCTGGAAGAAGGGCTGGTCGTCGTGGGCGGCGTGGGACGGCGCCCGTTTTATCAAGGATGCGCATCTGCCCGTGGGAGGCAGCGACGAGGTCAATTTAAACTGGGTCTTCATGTCCATCTCTTGCGCGGTCCTCGTCGTCATCGTCACCGTCGGTCCCGTCGACGATGGCGAGCTGCTGGACGTAGATGCGACCGATGTGGCGGAGTGCTCGTCGATATCCTCGACGGAGTCGCGAGTGTTTGTGTTCGTGGTTTGGGCTCGCGTCTGCACCATCACCATCGGCGTTTTGTTACTGAACAGCCGTGTCGTCGACTGTTCGGGCCCGCTTAGAAAGTTTGGCTCGTCGAGGTTGGGGGTCAACAGGCCTAGTCCCTGCAGGATATCGGTCGTCGAGACCCCTCCTCCTTTCGACTCGTCGGGAATGTCTCCCGGGAAGCCGGTCCTTCTGCGACAGGCCCAATATAGTCGTTGCAGGGCCGCATCGGTGACTTCTCGCATCTGGAAGTAACTTTGAGGACTTATTAGCCACCACTGCCCCCAAAATGGCTCGACATGTGAACGTGGATTGGCTCTCTTACTAGTTTCTCGCCTCTCGCCGTCTGGCAGAGTATACACACGGGCTGTCGGTGGCTCGGCAGAGTTTGCACGCTTGGTCCCCGTCACACTGTTGTAGGGTTAGTGAGGTAGTCCAACAATACACACAAATTTGGGGGGTGGGAGAAGGGGATGGACTGACCTTCGCCTTCTTGACCCTGCATCGATCACATCTGCACTCAAATCAGCATCCTTTTTTTCCGAAGTTCCAGATTATCAAAAGGAGCAGTGTGCTGTAGTGTAAAACACTGATGAGAAAAAAGACTTACGCTCGAGAAGTCCTGCCTCGAGGAGTCTTTCTCTCCGATTTGGACGTCGTCCTCGTGTTGCCACCCTCCTTCGGCGCCGGTTTCAGGGTCTTCATGGTTTTGTGTTTGTTAAGACATGGATCCTCTTGTTGTTGTTATGCAGACCAAAGCCCCATGCTCGAGAACCCCCAAACGTCTGTGGGCGCAGCAGGTTCGGGCCTTATAATGTACAAACAAGTCCCAGCTAATCGTGTGGGCTAGCGCAATGGGAGAACCAAGATTTCAGACACCATGACGCGTTTTCGCGCGTTGGGCAATTCTGCCCAGACATACGCCGCAAATTTCAACGCCGGGCGCATTTGGTTGGTACGCAGCCACAGGCAGGCACGTTCGACTAGGATGTTGCCTCGGAGTAATAATGGTGCTATCAGCACAACTTCCGCATCTGGCCTTTTTTGAACGGTGACTACAGGCCTGGTCCTAATAGGTTCGTGAAGGTTCGCCACTTGAGCCACTGAAGTTTAAATGCTCTGGCGCGGGGTGACGTAGAGTGGTCCTTGGTAAGACTTTTGATACCGGCCCCCTCAGAAGGAACAGACCAGGTAAGCCGTAATAGCCGTGGAACTCCATTGTTCGAAGACATGCCAGATACCCTGGCAGGATCTGGGTTGTCTAGTCCTCAGATCTCTCCAGTACTTGCCTGTTCCGACCAAGGCAATCCGACGAGATGCTCGTTCAGGATGTTCCGCTCCTTTGCGCTGTTGGTCTGAACTGAGTGGCGGGGTGGATACCGTTCATAGACACTGACCAATTATTATTCATCTTGGTATCGGGGAAATGGAATTTGTTCTCGGGTGGGGCAACTGCGGGGTTTTCCGCCTTTGCCCCATTTCCAATCCCATGTTGTCCGTGTTGAAAAGTATCTTACATTTATCCTTGTGCATTGAAACAGCTGCGGGAGACAGTGACAGAATTTTGGAGATATCAAATCATGGCAGTCTCCACTGATCGGTCCTCATCGCGAGGAGCTATGTCGACCATATCGAGCCTCAGGACTTTGAAGGAGAAAGAAACGAGCTGCTGCACTCCATTGAGAGATGGCAGTCCCATGAGATTCCTTGTACCATCGTTATGCCGCCAACTCAGTACATAACAGAGTTGTCCCCTAGCTCACCCCGTAGAGCTTTGCCTCTTCCAGGTAAGATCAGCTTTTGAGGGTGCGAGGGGAAGAATGTTGGGAGCTTCCTCCCCGAACGGACGCTGTCGAGAGACGCTGTCGATCGTGGCTGCTTTTTCCGGCCCTAGTCTTTGACGGACTCTGCCATACGCAACGGAAATGCCACTTCCTACGCCTTCGGTTGGGGTTTGCCATGGCTCTCACCCCTCTGTTTCTCCATCTACTATGCCATGCCACACTCATGTCCTAATCGATACAGCCCTGTGCACCCCAGCCCGCGGAGTGGTCGCCGTCTACCACTCGGCCCTGCCGGAGAAAACTTCCTACTTTATTAGGATATAGTTTCGATCCCATCCCTAGCACTACATCACCCTCCGGGTCACTGATCCGCCACCCATGCCATGTGAGCGAAGGAAGCCTGTATCGGACAGTGACGAAAGTCGCAATGGGCATCAACATCATAATATCCCATTGACCACCCCGCCCCATTGAGGCAGGACAAGGTGTACAAGAAAGCTCAGAAACCATTCGTGGTTACACACATAAAGGGTCATATCAATTCTGTTTAGGCCATATCGATATCAGACGTGACACGATGACTTTGAACACCGATTTGACCACCTCGCCTGTCTTAGCGGATGACGTCAACATTTGGCAGTTTCCATTATCCTCTGATGTCCCCTACAACAACAGTTACAGCCACCAGTCGCCCGTTTTCAGCGACCATGACCTCTTCATCCAGCCGACAGAAACTGCTTCCCCCGGGCTGGTTCCTCAGAGACCGTCGCCTGAGTTTGTCCAACCCCACGACCTTCATCCCCGGGGTCTTGAGGGGTCGACTTCGCCAGCGAGTCAAACTTCGCAACTGGGACGAACCAGTTCCATAGACTCGCCCGCTGGATCCATGTCACTGAGCCACCAACAGCTCCTCCGACGGATGTCCCTGGCCACAATCGACCTAAACGACGACTCTTACCGACCTAGAAATACCCCGGCGCGACGGAAGAAGAGCACGACTGGCCGCATCGCCCCTCGCTCCGAAAAGCACGCGCGCGAGCTGGAGTTGAATCGCAAAGCCGCGACAAAATGCCGCAACCGTCAAAAAGTGTTTATCGAGCACCTCCAACAGCGGTGCCGTAAGGAGGAAGAGAAGTTGCAGATGCAGACCTCGCTCGTCTCAGCCCTGCACGACGAGGTCGTCGCGTTGAGAAACGAGGTTTTGCGCCAAAGCTTCTGCGACTGCCGCTTCTTGTCGGGCGCAAATTCGGCCTTGCACTCGTGACACGAGGGTCACGGAAACTGTATAAGATTCCAAGAGGGTGGCAACTCACCGCAACAACACGGTGGTCCGGGACAGCTGTGGGGTCTGTTGAAAGCGATAAGTTACACCCGAGCTTCCCCTCAACCGTCTTGAAGCTTGAAGCCATCGATTGGGAGTCATACCCACGTCGGAGCATTCAATCGCGGATCGGCCGAAGGAAGAAATGGACTGCTGCCCGCACTAAGGACGAGTAGGAAGAGGACGAACGAATCAACGCTACAATGATTGAACGAAACGTGGGGGAGGGTTATATTGTTTCTACGGAGGATACTGTACACGGGCCTACCTCACGGGGCGGAAACGAGGGGCGGTCACGGAAAAATTTTATTTTTTTTGTGCTTGTATTAGTCAAAGCGACGGGTTCGTTCACTGGAAAAGGGACTTGTGTCTTGTTTGCCTATCTATCTATACGTTATACCACTATTCTTACGGCACCCCCGGGATCCTATACATGCGGTCTACCGTTCGGGTTTCCAACAATGAGCCGGAATTCTGTCTACCATCCAAGCAAACCCCCTCTCAAATACTCACCACAACCCGTCAAATCATCTGACAAACTGACATCCCTTTCAGGTAGGTCAAATGTCAAGGTCAAGGTCATGCAAGGTATTTAATTTAGGCCACTTAGGCGTCTGAGACATTCGCACCTCGAGAATAGCCAGGGGTAATAGGTATTGGTATAGGTATAGTGACAGTTGTGGTAATAGCACCGCGTATCCCGACGTGTCCCCGCCCCGCCCTGATGTCCTGGACCCTAGATCGTGGGTAAGGGAACGCACCCTGCGCGATGGACTAAAACGGTCTGCGACGAGCGGATTGGTCGGTACGACACGACACGATACGGCATGACATGACATGTCCGTCTCGTCTCGTCTGTCGTCATGGCGCGCGCGGAGCGGAATGCGGGAATACCTAGGTAGGTATTGTGGTACCGCATAGATCATATATCCCAGATCCTAGGTCGTGGGCCCCACTAGGGATCGCAGACCTTGGGGCGTTGGTTGCCTCGTGGTACTGTGGTTCTGCCTGTACAATGTGGGTTTCGGAGGACCCTGTCCGACGCGGGATGCGGTGGATTGTGGGTTTGTGGGCATGGAGAACTATATCTGTATGTGGATGGATGGATGATGGATGATGGATGGACGGCTCACTCTCACTCACAAACCTCTCTCCTTTCAGTTCAAAGGCCACTAAAGAACATGGAAAGAATACCCATTCTATTCTTACTTCCTGATCCCCAATCAGCGTCTAGGGCTGCGCATCCACCAGCACCCAGCATCGTCTCGCTTTTCGGGACCCCTCAAAATCAGGCATCTCTATCAGCTGTGACACACACTTACGAACATGGAAGGCTTATTAGTATATACAATCAGTGATGCACGGAATGGAAGGCGGATGCTCCTGTCCCAGGTAAGCTTCCCCCGCCTACAATCTCGGCGTGGCCTTCTCCTTCTTGGCCTCCTCCCTCAGGATGCGCTTCAGGATCTTGCCGCTCGCGTTCTTGGGAATCACGTCCGTGAACCGCACCCCGCCGTCCAGTCGCTTGTACTTGGCGAGGCGCTCGGCGACCCAGTCGTAGACGTGCTGCTCGGTCAGGTTGGCGGGGGCGACGCCGGGTCTGCGCACGACATAGGCGCGAGGAGCTTCGCCGTCGAGTTCAGAGGCCGCGGGGATGCCGATGACGGCGGCGTCGACAATGTCCGGGTGGGTGAGTAGGACACCCTCGATTTCGGGTGGCGCCACCTGGAACCCGCGCACCTTGATCAGCTCCTTCTTCCGGTCCACAATGTACCACAGCTTGGTCTTGCTGTCGCAGTACATCATGTCGCCTGTGTGGTAGAAACCGTCGGCGTCAAACGACTCCTTGTTGGCCTGCGGGTTGTTGAAGTAGCCCTTGATCACGGTGGGGCCGCGCGCGCACATCTCTCCGACGACATCGTAGCCCGTGATGTCCTTGCCCTCGTCGTCGATCAACTTCAGGTCCATGCCTGGGATAACCCGGCCAACCGACCCCGTGTCGTCGTCCTCGGGCCACGGGAACTGTGTGAGGATGCACGTCGTCTCTGTCATGCCCCAGACCTGCGCGAACGGAGCACCTTCGCCCAAGTACGGCCTGATCGCTGCCTGAGTCTCCTTGCTCAGGGGCGCCGCGCCGGCCAGGCCGTGGCGGATCGACTTTATCGAGTACTTCTTGATGAGCGGGGACATGGCAATGGCGACCGCCATGGCCGACACGACGTAGAATTCTGTGACCTTGAACTTGTCGATATTGGCGAGGTATGACTCCAAATCGAACCGCCGCATGACGTACGCCCGCTCTCCGAGCTTCAACGTCGTCGTGTGACATCGGGGCGCGATGGCGGCGTGGAACATGGGGGTCGCATACAGGTTGACGGGCTCATATGATTTTTTGTACATTGTGGGGCCGTAGCACAACTCATGTTGAGCGATCAAGTTCCGGTGCGTGGTTATGGTGGCTTTGGGCAATCCCGTTGTCCCAGAGCTGGTCAGTCGAGCCGCCGTCGTGTTTGCACAGGTGTCAAAGTCGTCGAAGCGCACCCAGTCCTCTTCACCGTGCTGCATCAAGTCCGTCCAGCTCGTAAACCCTTGCGGAACAG